CAACAGTGTGCTACACACTTTTGGTGTCTTTGGAAAGAAGACCCTTTGGGCTTTACTATCCATCATCCAGAGTTGATAATGCTCAAAAAGATAAAAAGTTATAGACACTGAAGTGCCTTGAAAAAAAATTGTACCACACTGAATGTTTTTTTTTTGAGGTGAGGCAGTTCCTAGGGCTGGCGGGATATTACAGAAGGTTTGTACCTAATTATTCGGACCTCACCAGCCCGCTGACTGACCTCACTGAAAAGGAAGCTCCAGACCCGGTCCAGTGGACGGAGCTGTGCCAGCAGGCTTTCACCCGAGTAAAGGCTGCTCTATGTGGCGGACCGCTATTGCACACTCCTGACTTTTCTCTCCCATTCTTGTTACAGATGGACAAGCAGGGGGCTTGGGGCGGTCCTGTCCCAGGAGATGGAGGGAGAGGAGCGACCAGTACTGTACATCAGTCGGAAGCTCTCCAAGAGAGAGACAATGTACAGCACCATTGAAAAAGAATGTTTAGCAATTAGGTGGGCTGTTCTCACCCTCCACTATTATCTCCTGGGACGGGAGTTCACTCTCTGTTCAGACCACACGCCCCTCCAGTGGCTCCACCGCATGAAGGATACCAACACACGGATCACCTGTTGGTATCTGGCTCTCCAGCCCTTTAAATTCAAGGTGATCCACAGGCCGGGGCCACAGATGGCAGTGGATGACTTCCTCTCCAGGAGTCTTGCGGTCGGGGGTATGTGGCGAGAGGGGCGTGTTCCTGCAGAGTCTACAGCGAGAGAGAGAGTCGGGAGACTGGCGGTGAGTAAGTAGGTCAAGTTCTAGAGGACAAACACCTGTGTCTTATTACAGTAATTGGCGTGGAGAGATGGGATAAAACCTCCAGGAAACGGGACTAAGGGCGAGAGAGACCTGGGACTGAGGACTCGTGTGCTGCTGTGACCGCTTGTTTTTTGTATGGACTGTTGGAGAATCTGTTTGTAGCACACGTTGAGCACGTTTGTTTTGAGTTCGACCAGGATTTAATAAAAAGCCACGAGCCTCACTACCTCGACCCCGTCTTCTTCCTTCCAACCCTGTTTGAACCGTATCACAACCATATTTTAGATCCAATAATCCTACGCCATACCTAAACTTAACAACTACCTTACTAACTATTGATAAGCAGCAAATTAGGTGTTTGAGGAAAAATTCATAGCTAATAGTTAATATTGAGAATTGGTTGCCAAACTAAGCTAAAGTGTGGCCTACTAGTCATGCCAGGCCTACTAGCCATGCCAGTCCTAACAAAAGTTAGCATTCTTTGAGAAGTATTTAACAGCTGACATGTTAGCCTGTTAAAGAGGAATTCAGTTCTCTAGCTAGCAGTAGCATTGTTATTCCTTATGTAGGCTACTTCAAGTACCGATACCACATGGATGCTGTACTGCCATTTGTTGACATGGATGATTGTCTCTGCAAAGTACCCTGATACTAGTGAGTTAGACTGAGTACAACCATATGAAATGGTCAGTTGCTTTTTGTTTCATAAATCATCAATTAGTTTGATATTTATTCTAAGGCATATTACTTTTATATTTATAAAACCTAGCAGCAAAGCATTTTTCCAGGTATAATGGATTTTTAGTTTCAGTGAATGTTATGGTGCCACAAATCAGCCACAAAGAGCATTTATCTTGTAAATATTTCAAAGGCTATTTATTTGCATCCATGAATAATTCACAACTTACTAAGATCAAGAGCACTGCCATCCCAATTATTTTATAATTAAAATAAATATTTAATCAGAGAGCTAAGCATCACTTCAATCCTCTGTGCCTCAATTTCTTTGGTTTTGGGGGTAATTATTTGTAATTATGGCTTTTCTTCAGAGCACAGACAAATAAAATAAAGCAAATTGCCCACTAACTCTTGAATTCCATGGTTATCTTAATTGTTTCCTTGCAAGTTTGTCACATCACATTTTTTCATATTTGAGGCCTGAAATACTGAAGAACAATCTTGCAAATATTCTGCTGTTAAAAGTGCTAAAACATTCACAAATTATCATTATTATTATTATTATTATTACCAACTATTCTAAATTGTGATTCATGCTGTTGTTTAAATTTAATTTCACCCTAACCCTAAGTTTAAGAAGCAACATGTTTATACAGTATGTGGCGAGTCGGCTGCCTCCGCCCTAATTATCATCATCACCCCGTCCCTTAATCGCCGACATTCGCCAGGCTCCCAACAGGAGTGGGTGTGTGAGAGAGGAAGGGCGCAGCATCATGCAGGTCTGGCGGCGTGTGATGAGGCTCACCTCAAGCGAATGGAGCCTCATCACCGCCGCAGTTAAAATGCCGAGCGCGCCTCTCCTCGGGGGACTCGTCTCTTCCCCGTGCATGCACGCTGGTGGGTCCAGGAAGGGTGCGTAGAGGGACTCCCGCGTAGGGATGTAACGATTACCGGTTTGACGATAAATCGTGATAAAATACCCCACGGTTAGTATTACCATTTCATATTTTAATTATCACTATAACCGTATTCGATTACTGCGATTTGAACAACTGAGGATAAATAAATACTGTACTGCACAGGGCTCCAATGTGCGACCAAATGGACGCAGTTTGCGATAATTTTTTCTGCCGGTGCGACTAAATTTTGTGTGTGGACATAACGAAACCACGCGACTCGTTTGAGCTGCGCAGCGCTTCGCGTGTAGAGCCTGGTTTATACTCGCCGCGTCAGGAGCACGAAGCTGCGTGCAGCAAAAATGACGCGAATATTGAGCAAACGATGGATGGGTTTCATGCTAAAGTAAAGTAAAAGACCGCTTCTTAAACCAGAGAGGGT